CACACACACACACACACACACACACACACACACACACACACACACACACACACACACACATGCTCAGCGCTCTCTTGCTTGCCCATTTATTCTATTAATCCCTGACTGAGATGAAAATTCTGATTATAATCCCTGAGGCATCCCTTCTCTCAGAAACAGCATCGCTAATGTCTCGAAAGAGAGCAGCCCGTGTGTGTGTGTGTGTGTGTGTGTGTGTGTGTGTGTGTGTGTGTGAGCTGTCATGCCTCGTCCTTTTTTTCCACACATTTTTACCCAAAAGCACATATTAATAAAAAAAGGGGGGGAAAAAATTAAAAAGCTCTTGGCCCGGAAAGAGAATTTTATCGGCAATTCTTTGTGCGATTCAGATGTAAATTTATTTATTTGTTCTTGTCTGGTTTTTACATGGATTTTTTTTTTTCAAAATTAGGATCAAGTTTTGAACTCGTGTCTCTTTCCGGTGAAAGTGGGTCGTCACAAAACCCAGATTTGAGCTGAGGCCTATCATGGTACTGACTGGTCAATTAGTGAGAGCTCTTGGCCGATAAGCTATCAGTGTCGGCTCAGAGGTGTTCACAGCCAGGACATGATGAGGATTTCAACGTTTCGGGAGAATAATCCATCAGAATAATTCAGCGGTTTTTGGCTCCAAACACGAGCCGCAATCTGGCTCCAAGCCGCCCCCCCCAAACACAAGTATTGTTGCTCTGTGACCTACTGATTAGCAATTAGCTTATCGTCACTGGCTAATGCTAGCAATCTCAATACACATTAGCTGATTTTTAACACCCATTCAGAGCCTGGCTCTGTTTCAGATCTCTTCTTCCTTCGTTCCCTTTTTTCTCGCTCACCTCACCCCCACCTCTCTCTCTCTCTCTCTCTCTCTCTCTCTCTCTCTCTCTCTCTCTCTCTCTCCTGCATTAGCAGTCGATGCAAATCCAGGCCAGTCGATTGATACAGAATCAATTACAGTATGTTTGTTGCGTATGAGTGTGTGTGTGTGTGTGTCTGCGTGTGTACTTGCCACATCCCGGCGAGCCTACAAAGAGATTTCACACGCTGGCTGCCATCACTAATCTATTGTCGCTCTCCCTTTTTTGTCCGTCTTTCTTCTTTTCTCCACGTGAGATTTTTATGTAGTGGACTCGAGTGCAGCGTTTGAACGGTGGGAGTGTGGCTGCATTGGCATTTTTGAATCAGATTGCAGAGTGTAAACACGCTGCTGTGTGTGTGTGGAATGAAGGAATCAGGGAAGGAAAACAAAAACAGGCTACTGGGAGAACTGGAGAAGCTAGTAATTTGTCCCAAGGCCAAACGGACTCTATTGTGTTGCTTTTTCCCAAAAAAAAAAAAAAAAAAAAAAAAAAACGTCCTGACAGCATGTCTGCAGTCCAGATGGAACTGAAAACTGAAATTTGCTGCTGATGTGTATTATAAAGTATTGTAAGACAAAGATGAGCCTCTCTTGTTCTGCACCCCCCACTTACATAAGGCCGTTTTAAAGGAGCAACGAAATGCTAACTGCTATTCACATCATCCTGCAGATGACTCTGCTGCTTTCACTTCACACCTCCTTAAAGCAGAGCCATCCTGGCTCCAAGGCCCCGAGTTCAGCTCTGTAATCTGTCCGCTGACCGGCCACGACCTCTGACCTCCACCACCCCCCCGCAGCGCCGCACCGTTACGGCGAAGGTAACCCTGACGATGCCCGACAACGTCAGCGGTGGCCCTGCAGCAGCGCGGCGCCTCAAAAGACAATAAAAATGGAACCAGGGTTGAATTTGACCTTTGACCTCTGCTGACAAAAATCAAAAGTTCCCGCATTTTACAGCAGGTTGCTCTGCTCCCCTCTCGGGACAAATCCTCCATTTGAGCAGGAAGTGACGCTAAACGTCTCCACTCGCTTTACTTTCCGCACCAAAAGTAAAGCGAGTGGAAACAGAGAACGGATGATCAGCAGTTATTAATATTGCAGCGGCATACGACAACAGCTGGCCGTGTTGGTGTAAATTAGATTAGTCACTGCAGACAATTGGATGTGAAAGGCTCTGGCGGCGGCGGCGACGTGTGGTGCGCCTTCCTGGGAGGGTGCAGGAAGTGATGCGATCTTCGTGGGCCACGGGTCTGGAATAAATAGAAAGCAGAACACGGAGAGCAGCGTCACAGAGGGGGGGAGAGGAGACGACAACAACATCAAAGAGTGAAAACAACACCGCCGAGAAGAATCTCGGGAGAAAAGGCGCCACACTTTCCACACACACACACACACACACACACACACACACACACACACACACACACACACACACACACACTCAGGGGCTGCACATGTAGCTCAGCTCTCTTATTATGTCGAAGGCCACTACATAAAACTGTTTATACACTACAAAGCTTATTTATATAGGCCACTGGATTACAGACTGGCTCTATACAACACACACACACACACACACACACACACACACAC